AAGAAGTATTTATCTTCATTTTACAGGGAAGGAAACTGAGGCATGGGCCCTTAAAATCACAGCATCACAGGGAAATGGCAAATTTGGAATTTGATTCTAGATAAATCTAATCCAAAGTTCACCCTCTTCACAGTTCAGTAGCCCTGTGTAACCTCATCTTACTTATTATTATAACAAAATAATACCATGAACTATAAAAACTTTCACTTACCTTATAGCCCTTTCTCTTTCTCGCAGACATGTAGAAATCTTGAGAGCAGGGCCCATGCCTGTCATGTTCGTCACTGTTATCTCCAGATCTCATACGATCACTGTCATGTAGTTGGTGCTCCATCCGCAGCTTTTGCAAAATGTGACAGTGACCGTACTCCATACGGTATCGATAATTCTAGACTCTCATTGCCCATTTTACTCCACATTCAAAAGGAAAGCCACGACAGCTGGAACTGCTCAGGGTCCTAGACACCCTCCACTCTCTGCGTTTCCCTGGTATCACGTGAGCTCGAGGACAGGCTTAGGAGGACCTATATTGACCTCTGACTCTGATACGGAGAAGGAACTGCTCGCTTTCAGTTTATCCTCTGCACTATTTGCAAGAGTGACCCCTCTGAAAATCAAACCTACCTGAAACCCATCAGCACCTCTTCCAACTGAATAATGTTCAAGATTCCAGCCAGACTCCTGAGTGTCCCACATTGGATTGTTCATGATTCAGCCTCCAGCTAACCGCACATGTGATATTTTACATCCTCACTCTTATGTGTGTTCATACATAATATAATATTATATATAAAAGGGGAGAGAGAGATGCATGGATATAAACATGCCCTAATACATTTGCCACCTCTCACAGTAATAATTCTGACTTGCTAGTCCAGTGAATGGAAGGTGTCTAGTTCTCTTACAGTGTCTCTCTTCACTGCTGAGATCTTCTGCTCTTTTAGATTTGACTAATGCCTAGTTCACTGTCAGATCTTATTTTTTCACAGTTTTCTTTGAGCCTTACTTACATAGCACCTAGTGTGAACCCTTTTTAGCATAGACTCTATTATATTAATCCATAATTGTATGTATATATATATATATACATATATATGTATATGCACAGTTCATACATGTGAAATATATGTCATACAAAAGAAAGTGAGCTTCTTGAAGTAGGATCTGTGATAGTGAAGCACAGTTCATTGCCCAGATTAGCTACTCCACAAATATTTCATGAATTAAATTAATGAGGAAGAAAAGGAATAAGATCTGATCCTAAATCTTGCCCTGACCTGACAATAATCTATGGCAAATTGCCCTCCAGGGACAGTATATGCTGTTGCTAGGAGACATTCCCATCTCGAATGGATAGGGCCAGCTTTGTTCTTGGTGACATCAATATGGCACCTCTCCTCAGCCTCAGAATCCTCTGGCACTGAAAACACATGAAGTCTGGAAGCTGTTTATGAGACTCAGATGGTGAGTCAACAGATTCTGCTCCCATTTGGCAAGAAGGGACATAGTCCCCAACATCTAAAGCTCTGTAATTCTCACTAAACTTCTCATTAATTTAAATGTTAATGTACATTTAAAACACATCATCTCGATTTGGCATTCTTTGTATGTGAATGTCATGAAACAAAACTCTCTATGAGCAAAATTCAAATGGACATTCTTCCAAACCATCAAGTTATTATGAGTAAGAAAAAAAGTGAAGCTTTCTCTTTTTTCAGTCCTGTCATAGAAAATCATCTGTTTTAATTAAAATTTCTGTGTATGCGAAACTATGAGAACCTCTACCTTGAGTCCAATCCATCTTGGACATTTTGAGTACCATGATCAGCTTCTTAATCTGTGTGTTCAGAGAACTGACCATTACATTTCGAATACATAGAGCGGTGAAGATCTTCCCCATTTCACTGCTAAGACATAATAAAGCCACCATGAATATACTGGTCAACTGAGGTCTCTTTTTTGTTAGTATTTGAACGATAGCCTTCTAATATTGGGTCATATATTTTTTAATTTGAAGGGAAATGTAATTACAAAGAATGTATGACCTCATTAGGCATACATAGAAGACATGGTGGTGATGATTGACTGGTGATGATGATGGTGATGAGACAAACCTGGACATTTGTGTGTGTGTTTGCTCTGAGCCAGACACTGATAAGAAGTCCTCCCCAAAAACTTCATAATGTAGTCCCTACTGCGGCACAGAGGACAACAGCTCTCTTATTCTGTCTTACGGAATACGATACTGACCCATAGAGATATTAATCCAATTTCAAAAAGTTCTACAGCCAGCAAAGCATGCTGCTGGCCCTGGGTTGTTCTGATTCCAGTGCCTTTTTAAAAAATTAATTTTATTGGTACATTTAGTGGATACAGTATAATGACATTCATTGTTAGAAATGTGTACCTTTACATAAACGATCTTGGTTCTTATTTTTTCCCCTTTCCCCCGCCCTCCCTTCAACCCCTCCCTCCCCCGCATCTACCAAGACTTTGTTTCCATTATTTTTCATTTTTCTAATATTAATTCCATTCCCTCCTTAATTATAAATATTATGATAGCTGGGTATTAAACCATGCCAATTAACACATGAAATGCTAGAGTCGTGGATTTCATTGTGTGTTAATACATACAAACCTGCAGTTAGGAATCCAGTGCTACTATGGAGCAGCTGGGTGGATGGACAAACACGATGTATCTTATTCCTTTCCTTGCACGATGTAAAATTTGAATGAATCGATTAGGAAAGCCTCATTCAACCCCACCTTTTATGAGTCTGCAGAAGGATGTGGTCCAGTTTGTTCGGTGGAACAAGCTCTCTACCTCATTCTCCTGGGTGCAACCACTCATCACGGCTCTTCTTCGCTTCAGGGTCTATGCCCCTGCGGGCCCTGCTACCTCACTCAGTTCTCTGACCTAGGAGCCTGACAGCGTAGGCACTGTGCTCTCAACAGATGCCTTTGAAATAGGAGAAGTGCCAGGTAGAAGACTCAGACTGAAGCATGGAAGAAATATCATTTTGTTCCCCTGAACATGAAAACAAAATATAAAAAATAAGAGTCCTGAGAGACACTGGCCAATATATGTGAAAGTATGAATATTCACTACTGTATTCAGAGGCACAGAACCAGAAAGAACCTAGTGAAATTGGATATGCACTGGTCTTGGGGCACCAGGTGCAGCCTGGCACAGATGTATGCAACGGATCCTTGTTTTGCACCCCCAGGATGTACTACACGGGGTATGGGGTGGAGCATGGACTCTGCAGTCAGGCCTATCAGCACTGTCGTTTTTCTATCTCCCAGTAACATCTGGACATTTATGCTTTGGTTTTCTTTATCTATATAATGGCATTCCTGGTTAAAAATGTTTATTGAATAGTTTTAAGCCTTAATTTTTAAAATAATGTAAAGAGTTTTTCATTAATAGTGAAAATGAAAATCAAAGTTTAAAATGAGTTTTCTTAGGCCAGGGATTCAGCTCAGTGATTCCACCGCCTGCCTTGTAAGCACCAGGTCCCAAGTTCAATCCCTGCCTGGTACAAAAAAAAGAAAACAAACACACACACACAAAAAAAAAGGTAAATAAAATAAAAAAAAATAAAATCAGTTTTTCTTTATTCAAATAACATCAGCAAACAAGTAACACATTTATTATGTCAGTTTTTAAATTATCCGCTGAAGTAATGATGTTATCAGTCAACATTCAACTTTAGAAATGTTGTTTTCTCAAAGCAATGACATATGAATTAAAAATGAATATTTTATCCAGAAATATTTTTCTTGAAAATACATGAGCAAAACTATCATGGCATCGTGGTAAAATACTGTAAGCATTTTTTTCCAAGACTCTGGTAATTTCTTCCCTTCAGAAGAATTTCTTCCCTTAGCTTCTTCTCAACAGCAAATAGCTATTGGTTAGACGGCTGAAAAACTGGTTATCAGGTCCCAAAATACAAGTTTAAAAAAATCAAATTTTACCAATCTCTGTCAGGTAGACAGTGGAATTCTTTTCAAATCAGGAGGTAAACCTCAAATTAATTGATTATAACGATCTTAGTACCATTTCTCTGTAAGTGACCCTTGATAAGCAGAACTAGAAAGCAGTCATCGCAAGCATGTTAAGTTAATAAAATTTGGTCATTATCTACATATGAGGATTTCATTCCACATAAATTCTGCCTGCAAATTCTACTTACATAAAATCATATTACTGAAAGGGAAATTATCACTCAACTTGAGGAAAAGAAGGCTCTTCAAGGCAGTTTCATACAAAGGCTTTCCTTTTACATACAAAGAACACTTCAACCCAGTAAGATTTTGATACTTACCCAAGTCTGCCCGTCTGTATGTGGTAGGTTAATGAACTGAATCCATTTCTAATTCTCAATCTAGTGCCTACATTTGCCTTTTTGGTGTGATATCAAAATGAAAATTTTGTAAGTACAATGCATATTTTCTAGTTTCTTCTTTCTGTCTAGTTTTTAAAGTTGAAATAAATTGATATTATTTCTATTGTTTTTGAGTTCATGCCAGTGTGATGGAATAAAAATAAGAATTGTTCAAATTTCTATATAAAATTCTATTTATAGACAAAAATCCCCAATAAAATTCATATGACACATTTGAATAACAAAAGGAAAAGAACATTGACAAAGAAATGAAAAACTAACAAATTTAGAAATGGATAAAGTAAAAAATGCACATATAAATATATTTTATGAATATATTTCTGTATAGATGTCTATATGTACATATTATATATTTTTTTATTTTACCCACCTCTAGATCTTCTAAAACAAACACAAACACGCACATACACACACATACACACACACACACACACACACACACAAAGATAAGTACAGCATTATGTTATTCCAAATTACAAAATTCTGTGGGGAGACTGTAACAGGCTGGAGTGCATAAATGTGTAATCCTAGCTTTATTGTCACTTGTGGAGCATGGTTTAAAAACATGTTTGTGTTTTGTTCTTGCAGGTATAAATAAATATTTTCTGCAAAATTCCTGAGCATTCGTTTAAATTCTTTGACTTTTCTCAGGAAGATAAGGACCTGTTGGATACATTCTGACAAGGTAAGTTCCAAGTATCACTAATATTCTCAGGGCTTCCTTTCTAGTTGGTCCAGTTAAGAAAAAGATGAGGTTCAATAACTCAAAAAACAGACAAATGGAGAGTCAGCTAATACTTAATTCTTAACAGTGCAGAGTCGATATTTGACAATGTTTCGGTATGTAACAAAAAGAAGTTTACTAATAATTAACCTTAGCCTTAGGTAAATCTTTTTCACCTGGTCCCAGGAAATTTGGAGCAACCAGAGGCTCTTGCACACAGCAGCCTGCCCCGTGAATTGTCTTCTGGGCAGCACCAGGCTCCTGTGTTTCCTTCCGTAATCAGCCTGCTCTAAAAATGAAAAGAATGAGTTCAACTCAGTGACAAAATCTTGCTCCAAATTACAAAAGAGGCAACTTTACTGATCAAAGAGAAGAGAAAGGACCAGGGTATAACACAATAGAGTTACGCTCACATGAAAAAAAAAAATTAAGAATGGAGAATGAATAATATTCACTGTCGTGACTGAAAAATAGAAGAGATACGGTGATAAGAGAAAGCGCTCTTCAGTAGTTAAACGGGGGTTTTCATAATTTAGTAGTACAGTAAGAACGTTTCCCTGGGGGTGATGGAGACAGCCACAGCACTGACATTTCCCCTCCTTTAAGAGGAAAGCCAGAAAGTGTCCCATATGGTCCTCAGCAAATGAACGGATAAAGGAAGTGTGTAATTTGAACACGAAGCCGTACTACTCTGCTCTAAAGAAAGATAAGCATGAGTCATTTGTAGGATCTTGAGATCATAATGTTAGTGAAACAAATCAGACACGTAAGCTTAAATATTGCATGGTTGTTCTTATAAGAAGCCAAAATATAAGTAAACAGCAAAATAAAATACAGATAATAAGGACTTAGAATTTTTGCAAAAGAGAGGGATCAAGAGATGCAGGGAGAAGGGAAGGAAGGAAAGGAATGAAAAAGTAATTAGAATATGTTAGACACATATACCCACTGATTATGAGGAATGCAATCATTAAATATTGCAAACATATACTAAGAAAAATAAAATTTTTAAAAGAAGCAAGACAGATTCTAGCAAGATTTTTGCCAACTTCCTGTTCGAAGTCTTGTATTTTCAAAATTCAGTGGGCATGTTTTCTGTAATATCACACAATTGACTATGTGGTAGTCCATCTCATTTCTGATCTTGGCTAATTTTTAAAGAAACAAAATCTCACTGTATAGAGCAATTTTGAAAGTTTGAAGCATACCAGTCATATTTTTAGAGAGGGTGTGGAGGGAAAATACTAGAAAAGTCAACTTCGCTAATTTTTCAGTGTAATGAATTCAAGGGGAACTTGAGGCCCAGGTTTAAGAAATCCTTTATGTCATTGAATTTTATATATTGGTTTTAAAAAGCCAAGGATGAAACATTTATTGAAAGCATGGAAAAGAAAGCATACACTTAAAGAAAAGCAAAACACGATGGGTTTAGTCAAGTTAATAACCAGAACAAATAATGTATAGAAGGCACCAGGATCCACGCAATATTCTTAACCTGATACCTCTGCTAGAATGTTTAAATCCTGTTTCTTTCATATTTTGTTTTTTTCTGAGATTTGAGGTCATTTTATAAAATGCTTAGCATAGTTCAGTCATTTGGCTTGGCCACATTTTGATAACTTGCCCTGTGGGTGAGACACATGTAGCGAAAGAAAAAAGCTAATGTGTTAGACCTACATCAGTAGGGCTTCCTCCTCCCGAAAGAAACAAAAGAACAAATACAGTTCCTCATTTAGTACCTTAATATTAAGATCCCAGAATTTCCTCTAGAACAGCCAAGCGTGCTCAGTGTTAACATTTAGTAAATATTATTTGAATAAGTGATTTAATTAATAGGTTAATTATGAATGTACGGAATTATTTTCAAAAATATACATATTTCCCATGTAATTTGAAAAAAATGATCTGTTTTCTCTTTTCCTTGTGTTCAGAAAGTGTTTATAACATTTTTGAAGCATACAAAGAAACCAAAATAATGATTAAACAAAACTAGTAACATAGGAGAAAGCTGAATCTATCCCCAATAGATTGATCCTCAATGAGTAATCTCAGAAGTGTAAAGCTATGTGTTTTCAATAGCATAATAAAGTTAGAGTGTGAGCCTTCTAACTTTTGATTTTACATTGAGATTTATGAAATTGGTAAACCTATTTCAAATATTTTAGGTAAGTCCATAACAAATTCTGTATTTGGGCATTAAGGGAAATTTTCCAAGAATCTTTTCTAAGCACTTACTACAGATTAGAAAATGCAACTATCTATTTGATTAACTCTCATAGCTCTTCCTCTGCTGGCCTAAGAATTGGCATGTCGAATTTTGACCCATTTCGAACTGTTATTCTGGTAGGAATTGGCCTGATCTGTACTCAGATTTATTCTTTGCTAATAGAAGATCTGAGAATTATTGGGCTTTGAATGGTTGTTACATGGACAAGGCAACAGATGGGAACATGTAAAGTTTTAAATACACTTGTCAGGCTCCTGGTTCCTGTAGAAAAAGGAGATATCTTCATGAGCAAGTTACAGGACCTCTTACTTTATGATTGACATTTTTATTTAGAAACAAATAGAGTTCCACTTATTTCTGGATAAGTATCTATACATTAGATCTTTCGATGTCTAAAGTGAGATATTATAATTGTGAGTGAAGCGGTATTATTGCCTCAATCTAAAGAGAGCTAAAAAGATGTTTATCATTACCACACATGGGAATATTTTTATAAGAAAATATAGTTTTTTTCCAGTTTGGGTTGGCTCTGAAATGTGGCTGTATTGGTAGAGACTGAAATGGTTGTTAAATCTGATTCATACCATTCTTGGTAATAGGACATGCCCACATTCCCATGATTCAGGCCCTGGTTAAAAATCTTTCACCATAAATCTAATATAGCTTTATTCAGGGAGCTCTCAGGGCCTGTGGGACGCTGCCTCTTTGCTCTTTAAATTAAAAACTGAATTAAAACACCCAGAGGTGCCAAGAGTGTAGAGCAAGAGCACTTTTATAAACTGCTGTTGAGAGTATAATTTGATAGAACCCTTCTGAAAACCAATATGGCCCGTGTATTAACATGTGCCTGCCCTTGACCTAATATTTCCTTTTCAAAGATTTATCTTGAAGACACTAGTAGACAGGGCTGGGGTATAGATCAAGGACAGGATGCAGGCCTAGGATGTCTGGGGCCCAGCACACACACACACACACACACACACACACACACACACACACAATGTCTTTGAACAAATGACTGCAGATATATTTATACACATGATCACTGGGACATTGTAAATAGTTGAAATATATTTACCAAACCTAAATATCCCCAAAAGAGTTATTTTTAAATATGGGCAATGGATACAGCAAAACACTAGACAGTCACTTTGGATTGTGTTGCTGCTCTGTACAGACACAGGACTATATTGAAATAATATTAATTTTAAATTCTGATTTTAAAAAGCATGCGAATATGATATCAACAACTTTATGTATTTTATGTTACATTTATACTATACTTTCATATGTGCCAAAAATACCTAAGTAATTTTATGCAGCTTTCTTTTACATTTTCTATTTTTAACCAATAAGTAAATAGACATGTAGGTACATAAACTGAGTAAACAGGATACAAACTAATGAAAAGTTTTTCAAATAGTAAAATATAGATTCTTCTTCTGTACATTACACACACAAGCGTGCACACGCACACAGACGCACACACACGCACGCACACACACACGCACACTACCTCTTCACAATCCACATGACTTCCACTTCACAGTGAGGCCTTGGAAGAAATGAGTCTGATGAAGCTGGTGTGTTTTCTGGGGCATGGGCTGACCTGTGATACTGCGACTCAGTCCATGACAGTGAGAATAAATCCCACCGGCCTTTTGTTCTAAGTCATAGAATTGAAGGGAGTTATACCTGCTAGAAATTGATAAAAGACACGGAGGGTAGAGAATAAAAAAATATATAAATAAACTCATTATATCAATTGTAAACGAGATGAAACGAAAAGCCTGTCGAATGTAATGTCCAAAAGTAGGTATTGAAAAGCAACTTTAAGGACGGTGAATGGAAAGAGAATAACCCGTGTCTTTTATCAGGCAAGTGGTAGATATTTGAGTGTTGGGGAAAGGAGTAGATGGGTAACAGAGTTGCTAGAAGGACACCCTTACAATTTGGCAAGTCTGTAAGGTGCAAAGGAAAGTGAAAGTGCCAACATGGTACTTGGTAGACATAGGACCCTCATGCAACTCCGGGTGAATCTCTGGAAGCAAATAGATGCACAAATAAATGCCCTTTAAGTTGACACTCTTCCCGTTGCATCTGGATTGTTAACGCCGCCTCATCTTCTAGAACACTGCAAGCACAATCACACCAGATTTATGGGACAGTTAACATCGCCGGGGTAAAGGAAGAGTCCTGCAGGGAGCCGCCCAACCACAGCAGGATCCTCTGGAAAACTCTTCTTCCATTTGGCATTTAATGTTTCTATGTTGGTGCTGTGACAGTTTAGAAGCCTCTTTTTGACTGTCTGTTCATGGAGCAGTCTACTGGTCCCACTCTACGTATCATCACAAATAAATAATGGCAGGACTTGTAAAGAGAGGAGGGCTTTCTATGCACAGAACTGGAATGAAGCTGCCTAATATGAATTCTCTTGTGCAATAACAGCAGACCTTTAACCCTAGTTTCAAGGATAAAGACATTGAGCAGACAAAAGCTAAATGACTTATTTGCTCAAGATTGTTCGAACAGGAAAACTATAGAAGTGAGATTAAAATCTACTCAGTATGACTCAAATCTCCTTTAGTATTCGTGGTTCTTCTGAGTCCATATAGAGCAGAACATACTGTAATTATATATGTATGGGCATTTTTCTTAATTAAAGTAGCAATATTAATTTGAAAAGACTGATACCAGATGTAAGAGAAGAAAAGTGCCAGAATTTCAATTTTTC